CCTGTGGTTCCTGGGAATCAGGTTGGGCCTCACCGCAGGAGGTGAGCCTCTTGTGAAGGAGGCTTGGCTCCCAGGCAGCTTCTCAAATCTGCCTGCTTAGATCCTGGGCTCCCGCTCTGATGAACAGACTGGACAGTTCCAGTCCCTGGGGAGTGTCGTCAGCACACATACCTTTCCTTCTCCTTGATCCTGGTGTCCCTTTACCCAGGAAAAGTTCCAGAGTGAAATCATATTTGGCAGTTCTTCTACCAACTTATTTTTCTACAGTTTACAAATAGAGTCTTTTGACCCTAACTCACTATTTTATTGTTGAAAGTATTACATAGGTCCTCCTTTCCCCACCCCCATTAACCTCTTCCAGCTCAATCCCATGCCCTCCTCCCGCAGGTCCTCACCACCCTGTTGGCTGTGTCCACAGGTTATGCATATATGCATACAAGTTCATTGGTTGATCTGTTCCCCCCCACCTTCCCCTGCCTTCCCTCTGAGGTTCAACAGTCTGTTCATGCTTCTATGTCTCTGGGTCTATTTTTGATCATCAGTTTATTTGGTTCATTAGATTCCATATATGAGTGAGATCATGTGATACTTATCTTTCTCTGACTGTCTAATTTCGCTCAGCATAATTAATACTCTCCAGGTCTATCCATGCTGTTGCAAATCAGGAATGAAAGAGGTGAAGTAACAACTGACCCCACAGAAATAAAAAGAATCTTAAAAAAATACAATGAATGACTTTATTCTGACAAACAGGACAACCTAGATGAAATTGACATATTCCTAGAAAAATACAACCTTCTAAAACTCAATCAGGAAGAACCAGAAAACCTGATTAGGCCAATAACTATTGATGAAATTGAAGCAGTAATAATAAAAACTCCCAGCAAACAAAAGCCCTGGTCCAGCCGGGTTTACAGGCGAGTTTTACCAAATATTTAAAGAAGAACTAACACCTATTCTTCTCAAACTATTCAAAAAAATATAAGAGGAAGGAATACTTCCAAACCTTTCTATGAGGCCAGCATTACCCTAATTCCAAAATCAGATAAAGACAGGTCAAAGAAAGGGAACTACAAGCCAGTATCTCCAGGGCCTATTCTTGCTTCCACTTGACTGGTGAGAAGATGAGACTCAGAGAGGCCAAGCGACAGTGGGAGCAGGGTCTGAACCCACATTGTCCGTGGAAGTAGTTTTTGATGACTATGCCACACATATTTAAGCTCTTAGGCCACTGGGCCCTGTCAGTAAACATGCATGATATAGATGATATGATGAATCCTCTAATCGTATGCTCTATGAGGACTGGAAAATTGCCTCTTCCATCCCTTGCTTTCCTTCCCTTTCCATTCCCAGTTCCCAGCTGTCTCTAAGAGCGACCCCACTGTCTCCCAGTGTTGGAGAGCGTTCATTTCCCTTCACAGTATGTTCAACAAGAAGTTATTCATCCAACAAGAACACATTCTGCTTCTACACTGTACATTGTGCTAGGTACTCAAGATGTAACTGCCAGCAAAGCAGATGGTCCCCGAGGACCTGGAAGTTAGAGTGTTGTAAGGGACACAGTTGGCAAATAGCGGGTGCACTAGGTGTGCTAGTGTGCCTGGGGTGGGGGAGGAGAGGGCAACACCCACCCAGAGAGAGAGGAAGACAACCTGTCAGAGACCTGGGAAAAGGGAGTGAGCTTCAAACAAAGCAAGAGAGAGAGAGACCAAGAGGAAGCAACTGAGACACAGAGAGAAACAGAGGGAGACATAAACATAATGAGAAAGACATACATATACACACATGTGCACACACACAGCCAGGGAGGAGATACCACTCATGCAGGAATACAGAGGCAGAGACCAGAGAGCCAGAGCCAGAATCATTTCTTAGGGTGGCAGGAAACAGGTCAGCCTAGGGCTTCCGGCCAGAGGTTCAGGTCCGGAGGCAGGTTCATGGCTGAGCTCCGGAAAGGTGATCGTGTGGCTTTGAGCCAGTCTCTTCACCTCTCAGGGTCAGTGTCCTCAACGGTAAACTCTGGATGATAACACCAGTCTGGTGAGCTTGTGGAGATGACATGAGAAGGCCCTCAGACAAAGAAGGCAGCCACCCTAGACCCCAGGGATGCTGGGTGGGGCAGAGCAGCCTCTAGAGCAGTGGTTCTCAACCTTCCTAATGCCGCGACTCTTTAATACAGTTCCTCATGTTGTGGTGACCCCCAACCATAAAATTATTTTCGTTGCTACTTCATAACTGTAATTTTACTACTGTTATGAATCGTAATGTAAATATCTGATATGCTATATGTGTTTTCCGATGGTCGAAACCCACAGGTTGAGAACCGCTGCTCCAGAGTGAGAGACCTGTTCTCCTGCAGGGACAGTCAGCCTTGAGGACATCCTGGCTGCATGCAGGTCTCCCGGAGCCAGGAGTGTGAGTGAGGGAAGGACACAGACAGGAGATGAACCCTCTGTCCCAGCATCTTGTCTGGGCTGGGGATACACCTAGGGTTTAATTTCTGAAGGAGGCCCCTAAGCGGACCAACGCGGAAGGGCCTGGTTTCCCCAGCAGCCACTTGCCTTCTTTCTATTTGGCACAACTGTGTTCAAATCACTTTTGTTTTCTCCTTCCCTCTGTGTGGGATGAGGATATCTTCCTGGCTTCAACCCCATTGACTCCAGGGAGTGTGGGATTCAGTAGGCATCTGGGTAACTCTTACTCAAACAGCCTTATTTGGTTCTCAAAAAAGCCCAGTGAGGTGGCCAAGGCACGTATTATTTTGTGCAGTGGGTCTCTATAGACCTATTATGTGTGATGGTCACTTTCTCAATGCAGTGGGTAGTGCATGCAAAGCACTTGGCATGGTGCCTGCACATAGTGGGTGATTTACTAATGGTAGTGAGTATTACTCTCATCATCCCTTCATACAGATTGGGAGACTGAGGCTAGAAACAGGTTAAGCAACTCACTTAGATCCCCAGAATCAGTAAGAGCTTGGACCCTATCTCCGAGGGCTGTGTTTGGCTTCTTATGATGGCAACATGACAGTAGTGGCTTTAACCAAAGAGTGGGCTATTTTGCCCACCTAACCACGAGTCCAGAGGTGGACATTCTACGTTGGCAAAGCAGTTCCCTGATGTCATTGGGATCCCAGGTCCTCCAGTCTTGCTCCTCTTCCATCCTTAGCATGTTGCAGGATAGATGCTCCACAGCTCTTCACATCTTCAAAAAGGTATGAAAGAGAAGGAGGGGAAGGTAGAAGAGGCAGGGCCTGAAGCAGGAAGGTAAAACCCTCCCAGAAATCACTAGGAGAATACCACTGACATGTCTTACAGCATCCCCAGCTGCAAGGGAGTTGGGAGGGGCGAATACTTTTTACTGGGCACATTGCTGCTCCAGAAGGAGTTCCGCCTGGGGGAGGGGAGAATGGACTTTGGGTGGTAACTAGTGATGCTGGCCAATCACGGCTCCTATTAGCCTCCTACCTCCAGTGCCATGTGGCTCCCTCTCTCCCAATCAGCTTGGACTTTGCCTTCTTGGATCAAAAGTCCACATCCTTTTGGTCCATCATCCAGCATATGACCCTGCAGTTATCTTGGCTGGACAGTGACTGTATGTAGGGCTCCTTGTCCTTGATGGCTAATGATGCTCCTTGTGTGCTTGGCATCTGCTGAGGGGACACTGAGTGGGGGGCCCGGGACAGGGCTTCACTCAGCCATATTTCTTCCTGTATTGGCATCCAGGGTGGCTGTCCCTCTTGCAGGATGAGTGAGAAATCCTAAGCAATGGAGACCTTTCGGAGCCTGTCTTTGAGGCTTTAGGGACAGCTCATTTATCAGCTGTGGAAGTTTTCCTGAAGCACTGATTGAGGAGGCCTGTCAACTGCAAGATCTATAACCTTATCTCAAGAATGACCCATGTGTGCAGCACCATAAATCTTCCCGAGCTGCAAACTGGGAGGTGGAGGCGGATGAGATTTGGCGTTGGCCTTTTGAAGGCAATTTCCCCAACCCCCTTGTTCTCTTGTCCTCCAGGACGTCCTCACATTTCATGGTGGCCCACCGAGGAGCATCTGTGCTGTGCTGAGCTGGAGGAGGTCACGAAAGGGATATAGGCAGTCTGGTTGCCACAAGGCTGTCCTAGGTGAAGCTCGGACTCCAGCCCTGGCCGTGGAGCAGGAGGGAGAATGTCTGAGCTGGGAGGTCTGGGTGTTCCTTCCCTGGGTGAGGAGGAGTGCAGCAGCGTGGAGAGGGTCAGGGGAGAACCACCCAGAAGATCTAGTCCCAAAGTATGGTGTGACAATATTGCATAACGATCAAGACTCAGGCTCTGAGTTGGACAGTGTGGGTTTAAAGCCCTGCCCATCAGTTGCTACCAGTGTGACCCTGGCAATAAAGCCAGGCCCTCCCCCAGTCAGCATGGCACTGCACAGGGGGGGTATCTGTGCCAAGCTGGCACTGCCATGGGTGAACCTGAGGGGGGTGGTGGTGAAAGATTTAGAAAAGACAGACAAGAGAATAAAGCTGGGGCTAGGTGGGACGCTGCTTCTCTGATGGAGAGACAGTGCCACAGCCTGCAAACAGAGTCTTTATTTTATAGCCAGATTCCAGGAGGCAAAGTAA